CGAACGTTATTTTGAATATCGGCCCATGAATAATAACCGGTTATACTTCGTATAAGTTCGTGAATATAGCGAGAATGAAAATGGGCAAGAAAATACGAGAATAATATATGTTTATCTATATCTATCTACCTATGTATATGATATATATATATATATATATATATATATATATATATATATATATTAGATGTGCGTAGTGTGTACGTGCGTGTGTGTCTGTGCGTGATTGTGTATGCACGCGTGAGTGAGTGTGTTGTATTTACTCTTATATTGCCCATATTTCTGGCATAGACAGCTGTAAGTCCGTCCATGAATTGAAATCGGAATAATAATATAATAACACGCCAATCGACATGACCCACTTTATGCAGGCGCATTGACGGCCTAGTTCTCTCACGGTAGGCACCGCACTCGCTCGCTGCCTGCTCGTCTGCGTCGATGCAGCGCAAGGACGAGCGACGCCTCCCACGTGGCCCTCCCCTCCCATCCCTGCCCCTCCGGCGTGGCCCTCCCCTCCCTTCCCATCCCTCTCCCTCCGGCGTGGCCCTTTCCTCCCCTCCCATCCCTCCCCCTCCGGCGTGGCCCTCCCCTCCCCTCCCATCCCTCCCCTCCGGCGTGGCCCGCCCCTCCCATCCCTCTTCCTCCGGCGTGGCCATCCCTCCGCTCCTCATCCCTCCCCCTCACCACGTGGTCATTCCCCCCCCTCCCATCCCCCCCCTCCGGCGTGCCCCCCCTCCTATATCCTCTCCCTCCGCGCGGCCCTCGCCTCCCCGTCCCATCCTCCCTCCTGTCCGGCGGCTCCTCCCATACACCACCTCTCACTCCGGGCCATCCCCTACTCCCTCCCAATTCCCCCATACCGCACGTGGCCATCCAACTACCGCTCCCATCCCCCCTCCGCGTGGCCCTCCCATTCCCTCCCACTGCCTTTCTCTGCCTCCCACCCCACCACCCTCCGTCCCTCGCGGCTGCCAGCTCACCGACTCACACCCACCCCACCTCCCGCGCGTTCTTCTCTCCCCACACCCACACCCTCCTCCTCTCTGCGCGCGACCTCCCTCCCACCACTCACGCACCCCAGCGCTTCAGTCTGGACACAGTCACGCTTCTCCGTGTCGTTCAGATGGATTCGCGGCTCTGTGAGCGACCCGAAGCTCTGGCGATTATCGCCGTTAGCGGTAAAACAGTGTACAATCGCGGCATGTGTGGACTTTTCGCTGCGCACGCTCAATGGAACTATTTGTGCAGAATATACCAGTTTCCGCTACATGACTAAGTGAGTAGAGAGAATAGAGGCTGACGTGATCCTGTACTTGGGCGCATGGCAG